TTCGATGAATGTAACTCGATATTGTGTTCTATTGTTCCGCTGATTTCAAGACAATATATTGCTACACATTAAGGCATGCTCATAGAAAGGTATGCGCATGACAAATTAAGAAAGAAAAAAAAACCTATCCCACTGATTTCATGAAAATGGTAGTTTCTCCGGGCAGAATATGAGGTTGATGTTAGTATGATTGAGTGTAAACATTTCTAAAATCCAGTGATATATAACGGCGATGGAAGTTAATTGGGCTCATTATCAGGCAGTCTTTTCGTGAACTCAACTTGCTGCTCATGGTGAAATATCCAAGAAAACGGTTGTTAACTCAGTGCTTCAATAGAACGAATATTCTCGAAATGTTGGAAATCAGTTGGTCGAGCGGAGTGGAACATAAATAAGTGCTGTTCTGGAATAGCTGAGAGGATGATGCTCATAATGACAAACAAATACTCATCAATTTACAACCAGAAAACATATTCAGAAAAAAAATTTGAATGAATTCTATTTTGTAGAAGAATTTACACAGATGAAAATTCAAGGAGAGAGAAATTAGCATGACAAAAGAATACATTCGATCCGTTGAAATGCTCTCATCATATTTTGTAATCATTCGTCGTTTGTTTCATTCAGGCGAAAGGTTGCGCGCTTCGAGAGGTTAGTAATGTGAGGATCTGATCGGGTTGCGATGCCATGTGAATTGTTCTATCCAGTTGATTAGATCGGTAGCGATTGGTTGGGCGAAACTGAATTATGCCGTCGAAGTGCAAATCTAAATGTTGACGGTGAATCAGGATTCAAATGAATGTTGGGCATGTGAATAGAAACGATTGCATAGTTGAACAATCAATCGTATTTCATGAAAGTAACGGTTATTGTTCGAAGGTAATACAGCATCAAGCACCGATTTTTACGGCTACGTATTTATTTTCAAAGTTGATCGGAGTGAGAACTTTAAATTTAGATGTGTCAACCAACGTTTCGCTGGAAATATAGTGAGTTGGACGTTCGAATGTTAATTCAGGCTGTTTTACTCAATTCGGTGTGCATTTGATCGACCAAAAAGTCAAAATACTAGAAAATGGCCGCCTATAAACTGTGTAAAAGTCTTCTTGGAAGCGCCAGCTGCACTGTAAGGAACATCTCAAGGCGTTTCGCATCGAAGATGTCGGTGAGAGAAGCGATTTGTACAGCGATGGACGAGGAGATGGCACGTGATAGCGAGGTTTTCTTACTTGGTGAAGAAGTGGCTCGTTACGGTGGATGCTATAAGGTATCATTGTATTTGATGAACAAGTAAGCGGGAACATCTTCTTCCATTTTTAAACAGGTGGTTTATGTGCAATTGCTCCAGTCAACCGATTAATAATTACGAGCACTCCTGGAACTGGGGAGAATTGAGCTGGTGCTGGAGCAGTTCAGTCCCTCATCCCTTTCATGACTTCTCTCCTTTGGTTACGGCTTAATATGACTTGATGATCGCTTAAATTCGTGGTAATTGAAATGACGATTTTAGTGATGACATTTGAAGGTTTCAAATGGACTCTTGCAAAAATACGGTGAGGAGCGAGTGTTGGATACACCGATAACGGAAATGGGTTTCACAGGTATAGCCGTAGGTGCTGCGATGGCCGGAATGCGTCCCATATGCGAGTTTATGATGTTCGACTTCTCGATGCAAGCAATTGATCACGTAGTGAACGGTGCCGCAAAAACATATTACATGTCAGCTGGCCGTGTGAGTTTGAGGACGATTTTAATGCTCCACTGATTTTTGAACATTCGACAAATTCTGAGTGATGCATACATCCATAACCATTCAATAATGCTTCAATATTTGAATTTAATGGAAAGTTACGGTTGAATGATGAGAATAATTGGCTTGAATTGTTGCCCGTCGAAATTTTGAGAGAATACGTTTGGTAGGACATTTGCTTTTGATGGTTCTTCTTAGGTTTCGAACTAATTATGATGAATTTTGATGAAGTGATTGCTATTTTTGTCAAGGTAAACGTGCCGATAGTGTTCCGCGGTAAGAATGGCGCAGGCGTAGGTGTGGCTGCACAGCACAGTCAAGATCTCACAGCATGGTACGCGCATTGCCCTGGTCTCAAAGTAATCAGCCCGTATAGCAGTGAGGATGCCAAAGGTCTCCTGAAGGCCGCAATCCGTGACGACAACCCCGGTAATTAGTTCACCTATTTTGTGATATTTGATCATTTCCGATCTATCCGAAGAATACAATCAATCACTACTGAAAGACCATAATTAGATCATAAACATAAACTG